TTTTATATATTTTTATATATATATATATATATATATTTTATATATATATATATATTTTATATATATATATATATATATTATTTTGTACACGAATCGTACCGTATTGTACTATTTTTATGTGTTTAATTAATTTTTATATTTACACGTGTTAGTTTTTTTACACTTTACGAAATGTTATAACGTTACTACCAGTGTATATATATATATATATATATATGTAGATATATACCTGGCTCACTTGTTTATCCTGCGCTATTTATCCCGCTTGCATGTACATCGCACACGTTGTCTCGCTCACGCTATCTCTTTCATGATGCTTCTACGCGATACTGACTCCCCACTGCCGAATCGACGGCGCATAGTGGGGAACACCGACCAGGTATATAAGCCGGTCGAGACATCGGGACCAGATCCCATCTTGCGATCCGACTCCTGACACTGACCTGACCAGTACCTACTACCTCTCGGGGCCAAGGTTTCGCTTGGCTCTGCCGAGTTTCGCCGGCTTTCTCTATCTTCGAGCTGAAGTTTCGCTTAGCCCAGTCGGGTTTCGCTGATTCATGTCACCACTCCTCAGGCTAAGGTTTCGCTTAGCCCGGTCGGGTTTCGCTGACTCTTATCACTACTCCGCGGGCTGAGGTTTCGCTCAGCTCCACCGGGTTTCGCCGGTTTTCGTTGCTAAGACAGGGCTCAACATGACACTCGGCCCTGTCCGCAATACCTAGCTATCCAACCTGACAACATTAGCTCGTAAGTGCATGTAAATACCGCGTGATAGAAATAAATCCACTAGCTATAACCGCGCCGTAGTACTAAGTCTGCTACGAACAAGCCCGTTAATATTAAGTCTGCTAGTTATAACCGCACTGTAGTATTAAGCCCGCTAGTCATAAGCTCATAGTTCTAAGTTCTCTAGTTGTAGCCACGTGTAAATAAAACCGTTGATGACTGCACGCCACATCTGTCTTGCGCTTCTCTCCGCTTTGCGTCTCCGCTTTGCGTCTCGCATCCTGCTACCAGCGACACCACTGCGATCTCCCCCGGCCCTGCACTCTGTATCTTTCTTTCTCTAAATAAACTATCTTTTCGCTGCAATCTGTGTTCTCGTAAGCTTGAGTTTCCCCTCCTCTCGAACCCGGACACCGACGAGCCGATCCGAACGTCGAGCGAGGTGACCGCGTTACAATGTAATTGAAGAAAAAGAATAATAAGATTGTATACATTTATACATTATATATTTATTTTTAATATATTGTAAAAATAAAAAAATGAATTGAATCACTGCTTTTGTTTATCCAAAAATTGTGCGATCAGTAGATTGAACACATTTGTAGACATTCAGTCTTGCAAGGGTGAAGACTCAGAGAAAAGTCGACAAAAAGACTCGGAGTTATATCAGAATAATATAATGAAAATTATAAATTTTCAAGAACAAATAATCAAGTAAATTT